ATGGTGGTGCATGTGATCCTTAGACTTGAGATCACCGAAACGCCTTGTGCACCAATTGGTATAGTTTGACACTAGCGTAACGCAGTTCTATTCAAAGCTGTCAATACGGTGGTGATTGGCTGCATCAAGGAGTGTATCAAGACTATGGTGAATAGACAGAGGATTCATCACTCCCGGGTACGGGAGAAGTTATCTCACGGCGCAATTCAGCAAATGGCAATGACACTAAAACTGTGGCCACAATGGGATTGAGTTGTTGCTTTATCCAGTTTATAATACAGGTCATTGGTCCAGTAATTGAATACATAATATCGAGAGTAACCGAAGGTTGACACTATTTCTATGCCTTGGTCTCGTTGAGATAACATATGATGAAAGGATCGAATTGTACGTTAACCATATCGTTGACAGGTAGCTGTTTCGTTGAATCCAAATCTATCGGGTGGCCATGATGCCTTGCTAGGGGCCAATCTTGGTATGTGTGTAGTGAGACAATTAATTGGTGTTAATCGCGATACTATATACTACTGGTATGATGAAGAGCCTACGGGTCACACACATAGAAGATAATTTAAGAACCAGTTTAGAAGAATGGCATTTTCATCTTTTTAGGCGAAAGGGTATTTTGCTAATTTCACAGTGCAATTAAATTTGCTGAGGTCGTAGCCTTTATTTAATTTGATATTAAAATTACATAAGTGAGATTACGTTTAAATATGTGTTCGCATATATTTAAATAAATTATCATTATTGTTAAATGTTAATACAGTAAAACCTCTCTGTAGTGATACTCTATATAGGAATAAACTCTACATAGTCATAAAAAATTATATTCCCAATTTGGGATAGTTATAAATAAGAATAAACTCTATATTGTAATAAGTTATAATTTTTTTAATTCCCATCTTTAGGAAAGTTGCCTCCACATAGTAATAACTATTTGTATATTCCAAAAAAAATATATGCTATGTTACATTAAAGGTTTATGATGAAATAAAATATTTATCTAAAGTTGTTTGGGATAATGATTTATGCTTTAGAGTTGTTACCAAATCTTCTAACTTGCGGGTATGTAATAACTCACTAGCATGGACACATTCTTGTTGAAGCCAAAATATTTCTAGCTTCTCAAGCATCTTTAGAGCTTCATGGCACAAAATTTTTGCATTTCCATACTATCATCCTCAGGATTATTTCTTTTCTCTTCTTGTCTAATTGTAGCAATAATTTCTTCTTTAGTTAAAGCATATACGACTTGTTGCTCATTTGGATGATCGAGGAAGACATTAATATCCATTTGATTAGTGTAGTGAAGTTGTCGAATCTGATCACTCAATCTTGCAATGACTCTTCTATTCTTCTCATCCACTTCATTTGTAACTTGCAATTCATCAACATCGGGGGTCCTAATTTTGCAATGCTTAAAACAATTGATAATTGTCTGTGGCTTAACATCAATTGACCATGCAGCAACTGTATTTACAATTTCATCAAGGATATTTATCTTTTCTGGTTCCAATACATGATCTTCTATCCGTTTCAAAAGTAAGCGATTAAAGCGCTACCGATAATAACCTTTGAAATTTCTAATAAAGCCTGCATCACATGGCTGGATTTTGGAAGTGCTAGCTGGTGGTAGGAACAGAACAGTTGTGTGATGAAGTGGGGGGAGATTCTCCTTTTTGTCGTGTGCGGTACAATTATCCAATATAAGCAAGACATTTCTATCCAAACGGCAATCAAACCACTTAAGCCATTCCATAAAAAACAAAGATGTCATCCATACATTTGAATTCGCTCGATACTTGCAATTGAGATTATCACGGTTAACATTATTAAAGCATCTTAGATTAAGAAACTTACCGATGACCCAAAGCGGAAGTTTGTCAGAGCCATCTCCATTGCAACAAATAATAGTTGTAATCCTCTCTTTGTTTTGCTTTCGGCTCTCTAACTGCTTTGTTGCAAGAGAGTTATCGGGCTGCATTCAATAAAATAAGCCAGTTCCATCCACATTATAAATGTCCTTCCAAGCCCATTTGTCTAATTCCTCTCTTATTGATGGCAAACTAGCTTCAATTTTCTCCATATTAACTTAACCACTTTCCCCAAAACAACAAAAGGAATGAATTGCATGTCGTTGCTTGAACTTTTCCAACTATCCATTTGAAAATTCAAACGAGGTAGCTTCGAGATAGAGTTTCCTTAGAAAAATATTTCCCTTCTCTTTTAACAATTCACCATTCATATTGACATGCTCTTGATGGCATACAAACCATTCATAGAGGGCAGACTCCATTGTTGGGTACTTTACCATCTTTGAACGTTTTGTGTTTGGGTTCAACAATCCTTCTTCTTGAAGGAGGTCAGCTGATCGTTTGAGTGTCTTAGATGTTGCTGCTTATGATACCTTAAGACCATGAGTATCTTCTAACCACTTAACAAGATCTTTCTACTTCCAACTAGGGTTTGATTCTTTCATTTTGCACAACTCAACACGAATACTTTTAGTCAATTGAGTTCGTGTATTAACTTTGGGTGGCATGATTGATTTGCTAGAGGAAGAAGAAAGGTATCACTTGAATTGGTGGAAGATTTTATTGAAAACTTGATTGAATAAGTTGAAACATAACAACCCTATTTATAGTAGGCTAATCATAAGTCTACTAGGATAAGTAAATAAGAAATCCTAATTCTACTACTAAAATAATGAATTGAAATCCTACTAATACTAAAACATGAAATGAAATCCTAGTACTACCAAAACATGAATTTTAAAATAGGAAATCAAGTACTATTAAAAGTAAATAGGAAATCCTAATACTACCAAAACATAAATTATAAATAAGAAACAAGTAATATTAAAAGTAAATAAGAAATCCTAATACTACTAAAAAAATTAATTGAAGTCCTAATACGTACTACTAAAACATGAATTATAAAATAAGAAATCAAAATAGGTTTTTTGTAACTACACCTCTATTAAGTTATAACCTCCTTATAGTAATAAATTAATTTAATCCCAACATTATGACTATAGAGAGGTTTTACTGTATATATATTGTAAATATATATTAATTGAATTTAATTGAGATAATGATAAATTAAAATTAAAAATACCTTAAAGGGGATGTTTGGATACAAGAGGTGTTTGGGTTGGAGCCCAAGCCCAATCCATGATGGAATAGGGTATAGTGTGCACTATATAAGTGCACACTTTGTGAAATATTTTAATTCACTCATTCGATCATTGAAAGAAATATTTCCAGCCCATTTTCTCTTCTCACGCCAGATTGCATTCTTTGCTAAAATCAAATACACTTTGTTTTCTTCTTGGTTCTTAAAGGCTAAAGAGGATCTAGCAAATCCTTCTCTAGTTCCTTAAGGTTATCTTCGTGTGGACTACATCGATTCGATCCTACACTTGGGTTGATAGCGAAATACGTTCAGAGACAAGTTGAAGGAGCCTCCAAACGTGCGTATGATTTCTTAAACTCTAAACTAAAATCTGCAGATTCTTATTTAATATATAAACTGTAAATTTGTACCCTAATCTTGGTTCTAAGGAACGATTCATGTCGTAAATATTTTTGTTTTCCGTTGCGTAACTGGATCATTTACTAACACATTACCGGTTGAAAAACTGAGTAAAACGGGATATTAGGCCTATGCGACTTTTTGCTCGTTTTATCCACATATTTTTTACAAGATCAAGCATGATATTTACCTAACCTCGATATTGATTAGATGGAAAAGAAAACGCTCCAAAAATAGTCCTCGATTCACCCACAGTCGAGATCCATTACCAGTTGAAAAACTGAGTAAAATGGGGTATCGGGCTTATGCGGCTTTTTGCTCGTTTTTTCCTTAGATTTTTTACAGGCTCGAGCATGCTATTTACATAACCTCAGTATTAATTAGAGGGTAAAGAAAACGCTCCAAAAATAGTCCTTGATTCACCCACAATCAAGATCCATTACAGACTGAAAAACTAAGTAAAATTGGGTATCAGACCTATGCGGCTTTTTGCTCGTTTTATCCACTGATTTTTGACAGGCTTGAGCATGCTATTTACCTAACCTTAGTATTAATTAGACGGTATAGAAAATGCTCTAAATACAGTCCTCGATTCACCCACAATCGATATCCATTACCAGCTGAAAAATTGAGTAAAACAAGGTATCGGGCCTATGCGGCTTTTCACTCATTTTATCCACAAATTTTCAACCGACTCGAGAATGCTATTTACCTAACCTCGATATTAATTAGACTGTAAAGAAAACGCTCCAAAAATAGTCCTTGATTCACCCACAATTGAGATCTATTACAGGCTGAAAAACTGAGTAAAACGGGGTATCGGACCTATGCAATTTTTTGCTCATTTTATCTATAGATGTTCGATAGGATCGAGCATGCTATTACCTAACCTCAATATTGATTAGACAGTAGTGAAAAATTATATATAATTTTGGTTAAACCAAGTACTAAATTCAGTCAATCATAGAAAAACCTCTTACTCCATACAAACTTATTATATGAGTCCTGAGATAGGTAACAATTACACCACACACTCGTAGGAAGCATTTTCTAAGTTTTATACACCATATATTAGGGCCACCCTTGTTTGGTTTTATATGTAATTGGTTGGCAAATAAAAAAAACAAAGTTACAATTATTAAGATCATCAGTAACCAGGTGGTGGCAGTGCCTAAGTATATTTAAATTCCAGCTTAAGAAAACAGTAGAAAAGAGAAGGCAGGCCAGCCGACCAAATTGTTGTTAGTTATGTTATGTCCGCAATTTCAAACAATAGTAAGGCAACAAGAGACATGGGAACAACCGATCCTTTGTCCTTTTTCTGCCGACAGCTTAACTAGCTGGAATGCAAACTGATACTGATACTGATACTGATACCGCCTTAAATATTTATCTATGCGGGTCCTTTTTCAATAAGACTAGACGCATAATAGATTTAGTTAAGAAATATTTGTCAATGAAGGATTTTGAGATGATGAGTTGGGGGAAAGAAACTACGCGAATAAATATAATTAGATATTTGTAAAACCAATGATTGGGTGAGGTTAACTAAGCAAATAAAGTCAAAAAAGAGAGTTGAGATGAAATCTAGAGTCTCTTGCAGTCTGCCGAAATGAGGTGAACGTGCATGTGGGGTACATACGTACAGCTACCTAGCAGATGAATTGATTGAGTGCTTAAGCAAAAGAAAAGAATGAATATATAATTGTAGTTGAAGGTGCATGGACTAAGATGGAAGGCAGTAAAATGAGAAGCAGAGTGTAGGTGTTGGAAAAGGAAGGTTCTTTCTCTTTGGAAATGGATTTATTTATTTAATTTGCAAAGAAAGCCAAGCTTTGGTATAGATGACGAATTAATTTGAGATCTCCGTCTCTGAGTCTGACGAAAAGCTCACGAGATTGTTTCTTTAGTGGGGGTAGGCAAGTGGAGTGGACGGATCTCCAACTCCAAGCCTCTGTAATATTACTCCAATTGGAATTGATAAACAGGTTAAATGGAAGCAAGTGCTGGTTTGGTCGCCGGTTCTCACAACCGGAATGAACTAGTAGTTATCCGTCGAGATGGGGATTCCGATGTAAGCTCACTCTACTTTGATAATTATATATCTATATATATTTATATTTGATTATTATATAATATGTTATGTGCCTCTACTTATTCCACTCGCAGCAGCCTAAACCTTTACAGCAGTTAAGTGGGCAGATATGTCATATATGTGGAGATGATGTAGGTCTAACAGTTGATGGAGAGCTGTTCGTGGCCTGCAACGAGTGCGCTTTTCCCATTTGCAGAACTTGCTATGACTACGAACGTAGAGAAGGAAATCAAGTCTGTCCTCAGTGCAAGACCAGATTCAGACGTCTCAAGGGTATATTTTCTTTTCTAAATTTAATTATTATTTACTTGTTTTAATTTAATTTAATTTAATGCGACAGGCTGTGCTAGAGTTGAAGGTGATGAAGAAGAAGATGACATTGATGACGTGGATAACGAGTTTGATTTCGATGGAAGGAATAGACAGGATATGCATGGTGGAGTGGACTCCATGTTTTATGGGCGCATGAGCTACGGCCGTGCTTCCGACATCGATATGCCTCATGCTGTTCATCCTCTTCCTCAATTTCCTCTCCTTACCAATGGTAAAATGGTTGGTGATATTCCTCCTGAACAACATGCTTTGGTCCCTTCTTTCATGGGAGGTGACAAAAGGATCTACCCTCTTCCTTTTTCAGATTCTGCCCTTCCAGGTCATTCACTCTTCCTCTCATTCTTGTGTCCTTGTTAATATCCCTTTTAGTTAAACTTATCTTTTATCCTGCAGTGCAACCCAGATCCATGGATCCTTCCAAGGACTTGGCTGCTTACGGCTATGGAAGTGTTGCTTGGAAGGAGAGAATGGAGAATTGGAAGCAAAAACAAGACAAACTACAGATGATGAAGAATGACAATGGTGGCAAAGATTGGGATTATGATGCGGATGCTCCTGATCTTCCGCTGTAAGCACCACCCCTCTATATACAATGGATATTATTGGAAAATCTATTTCTTTTTCTTTGTGAATTGAAATTTTGTTTTCCAAATTCAACTAAGCATCAGTAACAATTTTTTTATTTTCTTGTGTAAACAACAATTTCATCAGTGGATAGCCAATGGCTACAACAAACTATATTTCCCTCTCCAAATAATTGATGGTTCCTCTATTGCAAATGACAAAATTAAATTCTCTAGTCATCTGCCTCCCCTGTTCATTTCTTTAATAGATCAGTGGTCTAGAATGAAACTATACAAAATGGTAAATTTCTGAACATGGGAAAATATATTATCATCCTTGTGACCAGCATGGATGAGGCAAGACAGCCATTGTCAAGAAAGTTGCCAATACCATCCAGCCAAATCAACCCTTACCGAATGATCATCCTAATTCGGCTTGTAGTTCTTGGGTTCTTCTTCCATTATCGTATTATGCACCCTGTGAACGACGCATATGGAATGTGGCTTGTATCGGTTATCTGTGAGATCTGGTTTGCTGTTTCTTGGATTCTAGATCAATTCCCAAAGTGGTTCCCTATTGACAGGGAAACTTATCTGGACAGATTGTCCCTGAGGTAAGTAATTGGTTAATTTTTAATGTTCATGCAACTCTGCAATAGTCCAGTTAATCAAGTAAATTTACTCATTTTTCTTATATGTGTCTCTGCCCAGGTATGAGAAAGAGGGCCAGCCTTCTCATCTGTCACCAGTTGATATATTTGTAAGCACAGTTGACCCACTAAAAGAACCCCCTCTGGTGACTGCAAACACCGTTCTATCCATTCTTGCAGTGGATTACCCAGTGGACAAGGTCTCATGCTATGTTTCTGATGATGGTGCTGCTATGTTAACATTTGAAGCACTATCAGAAACATCTGAGTTTGCGAGGAAATGGGTCCCTTTTTGTAAGAAGTTCAACATTGAGCCTCGAGCACCTGAGTGGTATTTTGCTCAGAAGATAGATTATCTCAAACATAAGGTTCTAGCATCATTTGTGAAGGAACGAAGAGCTATGAAGGTACCAAGGATTCTGCTTAGTTTAATTGCATCATTCTTTGCACATTCTACAGTAACTCTTATGCTCATTGAAATTTCAGAGAGAGTATGAAGAGTTTAAGGTTCAGATCAATGCTTTGGTTGCAAAAGCACAGAAGGTCCCAGAAGAAGGGTGGACGATGCAAGATGGGACTCCATGGCCTGGGAATAATGTTCGCGATCATCCTGGCATGATTCAGGTATGTATATACGGGTTAGTTTTGCATATGGATATCATCATAACTCACATGCGTTCAACAATTTTCATAGGTTTTCCTTGGCCAAAGTGGAGGACATGACACAGATGGAAATGAATTACCTCGCCTTGTTTATGTTTCCAGAGAAAAGAGACTGGGGTTTAATCACCACAAAAAGGCTGGAGCAATGAATGCTTTGGTAAGCATTGAAATTACAGAGAGCCAATTTCTTATGTTCATGTGCAATTAACTGAAAAAATCTTTCTTTTTCTTTTTTTATGTATTCTTGTGGCCCTGTCTGCTTAATAGGTCAGAGTCTCTGCTGTGCTCACAAATGCACCTTATATGCTGAATCTAGATTGCGATCACTACATCAATAACAGCAAGGCTCTTAGAGAGGCAATGTGTTTCATGATGGATCCATTGATAGGAAAGAGAGTGTGTTATGTCCAGTTCCCACAAAGGTTTGATGGTATTGACAAGAATGATCGATATGCCAACCGGAACACTGTATTCTTTGATGTAAGCATTCATTTATGAAATTTCTGATTGGTTATTCGCTAGTTCATCTTCTCCCATGTAAAACTAGTACACGTTCCCCATTTCAGATTAACATGAAAGGTTTGGATGGCATTCAAGGGCCAATATATGTTGGGACAGGATGTGTGTTCAGAAGGCAGGCACTCTATGGTTATGATGCTCCAAAAACCAAAAAGTCACCAACCAGGACTTGCAACTGCTGGCCTAACTGGTGCTATTGTGGATGCTGTTGCACTGGAAGGAAAAATAAGAAGAGTATTGACAGACCAAATTCCGAGATAAAGAAAAAAAATCGAATGAAAGGAGATACAGCACCAGCGTGTGCTTTGGAAGGTATTGAAGAGGGCATTGAAGGTAATCCTTCTTCTTCTGCAATGACATCTAAATGAGTAGTCAGCAATATTTTCTAGTACGTGTTGCTTAAGCACTGAAAACACTTGCACTTGACACCTAGGACCAATTTACACAGTTATATTCTTGGTATATACAGTACTAATAGGACGTTGATTCCAAACTGCATTCCAGAGCAGTAGTTTTCAGAACTCTCAGATATCATATTTTAGGGAAAAAAAGATTAGCATAATACATTTTTAGGATGATTCTAAGAGAAGTTATGCATTCAAGAACCTACATGTATGGTGATCTGATTGTCTTATGTGGTTCAGACTAATTTTAATCTCAAATTCTGTTTCAGTTTTTCCAGGCACTCTACTTTCGAGATGGGTTACTTGTAATATCACTTTCTTTTTGTCTAGATGTGAGAGTAATAATATATGTGAAGTTGGAGAAAGTTATTGCTAATCAACTAGCAGTATCAATTTTTTTACATCTAACTTAGAGGGCTTCAAATGCAGGATTTGAAGTTAAAAATTTGGGTCTACTGTCCGAGCGTAAATTGGAAAAGAAATTTGGGCAATCTCCTGTGTTTGTTGCATCTACCCTGCTAGAGGACGGTGGGACACTGAAAAGTGCTAGTCCTGCTTCTCTACTGAGAGAAGCTATCCACGTTATCAGCTGTGGCTATGAAGATAAGACTGAATGGGGCAAAGAGGTAACAGCAATGTTCGGATTCTTGTGCTGTTGTTCTCAGATGTTTCAATTTAGTACAATTCTTCTTGATATTGAAATTTGGGTTGACTTCTTTATAATCCAGGTTGGTTGGATCTATGGTTCTGTTACAGAGGATATATTGACTGGTTTTAAAATGCACTGACATGGATGGCGATCCATATACTGTATTCCTGCCAGGCCTGCATTCAAGGGATCTGCACCAATCAATCTTTCAGATCGTTTGCACCAGGTCCTCCGATGGGCCCTCGGATCAGTTGAAATATTTTTGAGTAGGCATTGTCCTCTTTGGTATGGGTATAGAGGGGGTTTGAAGTGGTTAGAGCGTTTTTCTTACATCAATGCTACTGTATATCCATTGACTTCAATTCCTTTGCTGGCCTATTGTTTTGCTTGCTGAGAGGAAAATTTATCACTCCTGAGGTGAGAAATTTATAACCTTAAAATTGATGATACAGAGAATGGCTTGGCTCTCTATTACGTTGCTTAAATTTTCCTAAATCATGTGTTTGATTTTATTTCTTTAAAATTACTGTTCATATTGCAGCTTAGCAATTTGCTAGCTTGTGGTTTTTGTCGCTTTTCATCTGTATTTTTGCAACAAGTATACTAGAAATGAGATGGAGTGGGGTTGGTATTGATGAGTGGTGGAGAAATGAGCAATTTTGGGTAATTGGGGCGGTTTCAGCGCATCTATTTGTTGTGTTCCAGGGGCTCTTAAAGGTTCTTGCTGGTGTGGATACAAACTTCACAGTGACATCAAAAGCTGGGGATGATGAAGAGTTCTCAGAGCTCTATGCATTTAAATGGACCAGATTGCTCATCCCACCAACAACATTCCTTATAATAAACTTGATAGGAGTGGTTGCTGGAATCTCCAATGCCATAAATAATGGGTAGGAGTCATGGGGGCCTCTCTTTGGCAAGCTCTTCTTTGCTTTCTGGGTAATCGTTCACCTCTATCCTTTCCTAAAGGGTCTACTGGGCAGACAGAACAGGACTCCCACAATCATTATTGTCTGGTCTATTTTGCTGGCTTCAATCTTCTCCCTGTTGTGGGTTAGAATCGATCCATTCTTGGCCAAGTCAGATGGCCCACTTCTGGAGGAATGCGGATTGGATTGTAATTAGAATTGGCATTGATGGATGGTGGAGTATGCAAGCTGTAGATCTGATGTTTATATTGGCATGAATATCTGTTTACAACCTCAGTTCAACAAAAATACTGGAGGGAACATGAAGCTAAGAATTGCAAGTTTGTACCAATGGGCTTTATAATACTTTATTAGTTTTATTCACACAAGGAAGAGTTAGGATGGAATCACGACCTCTGTGATTTTTTTTTTTTTTTTTTTCACGAGTCTCTCACACTCTATTCTATTCACAATAAAACTGAGCTTTGTCCCGTGCTTGTAAACTACAAAGGGAAAGTTATTGGACAGCATTGTGGTCATGTATACTTCATATATAAATGTATAATAGATTTGAGGTTCTTTTTTTTTTTTTTAAACGGCTAAAGCAAAGTTTGTATATAATTCTAATTGTGATTCTTTTACTTTTGTTTTTCTGTTTCCTTCTTCTTATTGAATACCAAATAATAAAAAGTAGCGATTATCTAATTATTCTTTCTTCTATCCTATTATTCAAACATAGAAAAGAAAAGCTTACCATACTTTTGTGTTCGCAATGTACACAAGCACATTCTAGCAAGATGTGTAACAACGCCAACACAACCAATCTATCCTATCTAGTTACAAGCCAATCCTAACTCGAAAAAACTCTCAGAATAGAAAGCAGACAAACCTGGAGAAGAACAAGAACTGATGGAAGTTGTGACTGGAAGTTTATTTCACAACAGAAATGTAAGTGTCTAGACACCGTCCATTATCAAGGAAACAAAAGAACATTATGGAGTGGTAACATCACATCTTCCAGGGAATTGAAGCCCAGAAATTGGGTCAGCTGCAACCCAACATGTAAAGAAGCTATTATTCATATAAAATACAAATTCAAGAATATAAATTTAAAGCCAAGCGTACATGATAATTGTTGCTAATAAATTGAAAAATGTAAAATTCTGTATAGGATGGTAACCAATATGGGAAATAAAATAAATTGCTCAAAATAACTTTGTAGATACATAGAGCACAGAAAATGATTCAGAATTCTTTTCTCTCTTTTTCCCCCATTTTCGGTTGAGCAAAACCTGGGCGTGCTTAAGAGTTGAGATAGGAAGTGCAAGATGATCACCAGCAAAGAGAGGATCCAGACTCAATATCATCAGACAAGATAATTGTCATGCCTGTGGGTGTTATCTCTCAAGGAATCCATGGGTTAGCATAAATTTTGAAAAAAGCACGACAATCCCAGTCATGGTGCCCCCCCAAATGCAACAATTGAGGCATTCATAATTATCATAAATTTGGTTGATCAGGCTGAGGATAGATCGACAGATGCAGCCAATTCTGCCAACTGCTTCTTGCCAAAATTGGCAACAAGTTCCATGGAGATGAAGTGCTTCGGTAGATTTACAAATTCTTCCTCCCTAAAATTGTAGATAGGCTTAAGTTTTTTAGCTTCTTGTTCTGCTGCTTCAGCCTCAACAAGTAGAAGATTAGCTTCTTCAAGGTTACCCAGCTCAAGGGCAGCTGATCTTTCTGCCATAGCAGCACCAGCAACTATAAGTAACCTCTGAAATCGAGCTATTGCCACCTCTTTTTCCTTGGATATAATCAGTTGTTCAGTCTCCTGCAATCGTTCAACAGTGTCTTTAAAATTTTCCTCAAGTTTCTCGAGCTCCAAAACAGCCTTTTCCATTTCAATTTGTAAGCCATCCTTTTCAACACTCAATGACTTTGCCTCAGCAGCTATTCGTGCAGCTTCCTTGAAATTTCTTGCAGCAGCAGCAACTTTCTTTTCAGCTTCAAGTTCTGGGGCTCTTTTATCTATAAAAAGAATTCTCTGCTTGAAGGATGCAACATTTTGCTGGATGCTTGATTTCATGGAAGACAGTTCCTAAAAGCAGTAAAAAGGAAAATCAATTAAAAAAATAGCATCATCTGAAACAAAAATTGGGGCTGAGGGCTATGTGGAATCGTAATGCTTGCGTTTGCAAGTTAATCTTTCAGCCAAAAAGATGTAATTTCGTGTGCTTTCTGAAGGCCAGAGGAGGCATGAGCAAAAATAGATGAGATATAGCTACTTTAGCCACATTTCAATATAGTTCAGGAGTCTGTGGTTATAACATTTTAGTCATTCAACTTCCAGAGAATCTGTGAGTCAGTGCAATGGACATTGAGTTGCAGGTTTGCTAAGAGGAGGAATCTAACACCAATGGGACACACTCTCTACGGTTACATCCTGATATAACTGACAACTCAAAAATAATAAACCACTAACACCTTCATGAGCTTGTATCATCATATAAATAAAATTCAGCAAAATAATTGGGAAGTAAAATAAACCTGTAGGGAAGCTCTTGCTGCAGAAACCTCCTGTTGGAGCATCTGTACTTCCTCCGAAAGTTTCTCCTCAGCCTTTGCCAGCCTAACTTTATCATCCCTGGATTTTAGAACAGATGACATCAGACTTCTTCTCAGCCCAACCACTTCTTGGTATGCTTTTGCCTCAGCTGCAGAAACTCTGGCAAGTTCCTTAAGCTTTGCTACCCTGTCTACTTCCTCCTTGAGGAACTCATCGATTTCCTTTTTTTTCATCAACAAAGCTTCACTCTCCAAGTCCAACTGAGAAATTGTTGATTGCAAATTATCAAACTTTGTATCAATGCTAGATTGGAATTCCTGAAAGCCAGAGAGTGCATGAGCAATCCTTTCCTCAACTGCTTGGATTTTAGAGTCATTGTCAGCTATCTCCTTCTCCTTATCCCTGACTAAAGCAAGTAGCTTCTGCAGTTCATCAAACAGCATATCCTTTCTCTTACAAAGAAATTCTTTCTCTTTTTTGTCATCCTCAATGGAAGCGTCAACTGAATTATTCAACACCAAACGGGCATCATTTACTAAATGTGACTCAATTTCTAGTTCTATCTTCCTGCCCTCCAAGGCTTCAGTTGACGAAAGCCATCTGTCCATTTCTTCAGAAGACAATGTTTCTGCTTTCTTCAAAAACATATCTGCATTATTTGCAGCATCCTGAAAAATGATTTTTTTCGATCCAAAGGTCAAACTTATAATTTTTGGAAATAAGTTGATTACTAAAAGAAATAGATAACGGAATAACAGAAGGTCGGATACTGACAGCAGAGAAATGGTAGAGTAGAGAGGCAGATTCTTCCTCAGCAGCAATCTGGGAGAGGAGAACCTGGTGCATATGGGAATCAACAGCATCGCAATGGGCTTCGGCATCTCTGAGAGCAATGAGAAGAGATTGTTTATGGTTCTCGGAAGAAGCGAGGTCGTCGCTGATCCTCTGGGCGGTCTCAAAATCTTCCGCCTCACAAGCTTCGTCCAATTGCTTTTCAAGGAGAGAGTGCTTTAAGGATGCGGAATGAAGATCATCGGAAGCTTTTCTTCTTCTACGGATTGAAACCTTACGGGCTGTAGAAACGGAGGAAGCCAATTCACGAGCAGTGTTGAGCTTTTCTAAAATCCGGGTCTTAAGATGCTCAAATCTTTGTTGTGGATTATTATCATGATCATCTTTCTCTTTATCTTTATCCGGTATACTAGAAGTAGAAGAAGTTTCATCCGCTAAAATTGAAGAATCATCATCAAAATTGTCATCATCATAATCTCCGTCAGGAGACATACGAGGCGAATCTCTGCCGTATCCGATCCGTAACCCAGCGGCTTTCTTTTTCTTTCGGGAACTTTTTGTTTTGGAAGGGGAGGGTTGGTATAGGGGGGTTTGAAGAGTGAGGTCGGAGAACAAGTTTTCATCAAGGGGCTCAGATGATGAGGATGCTGGTGCCGGTGCTGTCTCCAAAGAAGGAGCATCATGATGAGATTGAGATTGAGATTGACATTGAGATTGGGATTCAGAATGATCGTCCTCTAGGCTCTGATCTGTTGCCAATTGGGAAGGCGAAAACAACACCATCCCTTCAAATAAAGAATCCATCTCATCATCCTCCATTAGTCAATCCACTCTTTGCCTTCAATCAATGGAAACACAAGCACCACGCTGACTCCAAGTCTCCACTCTGCCGCTTGCTTCCGCCGTCCCGTGTTTTTCTGTTGTCGATCACGGTAAATTGCATCTAAGAGGCCCAACTTTTGGCCGAATGAATTACTAGGTTGGGCCACAGCTTATTAATTATTGGGTTGGGCCTTGAGCTTTTGGTTTTGCAGTGGCAAGGGAAGTACACAGATCATGTGACAGCAAGCAACCATTTACATCTTTTAATAATATTTTATTATTAAATGTGCCCCACCGCTGCCTCAAGGGAGTCTTGATAATAATTGAGTTTTGCAATTGCTCTCTTCCGCTTTATACGCGGTTCCTCAGCTGGCCTTGCCCTTGACTTCCGTATCAAGCTTTGTCCTCCCTCCCTCCTTCAACTCTCAAGAGTCAAAACCCCTACTGATGTATTAGTCTATTTTTATGTACTCGAATATTGACAGCAATGCATTCAGCCTCCAATATCAGCTCGGCTAGTTAAGTTAGCCAACACAATGCCTCTTGTTTTTCTTCTTTATATCATAAATGAGTTGATGATGGTATGCAGATCATATCATAAAACCTCAATTGTAATGAGCATGTGAGTTATAGTTTTCCCCTCATTTCATCATCATATTCATATGTATTTTCGGCTGAAGAAAAGAAAGTAATCGCTAGAGGTAGAATCAAAAAGCTAACCTTGCAGAGCCTAAGACAATGAGTGGCATTGTGAAGAAGCAATTTTTTTTAAGTCATAATGAACCCATCCATATTTTGCACTCTCTAGATTTTTTATTTAATGATCTAGGAATTTTTCATAATTTATTCTTACACGTTATCCATTCTTTGACAGTATTGAAATACTAAAAAAAAGTAAATTAGATAAAAGATTACAAATAATGCAGTTAGTCGATTTCATTTATAAGTTGTGTATTCATCCCTTCCTGATAATTAATCTCCACAATTGCTGCATTGTTGACATAATAACTGCCCATCAATCAGCTATTTAGTTCTTTGTCCATCTGCTGGATATCGTCAGCGTCATTTGTTTTGATTTCTTACAGCAGCATGTAAAGAGATGCTAAAAATTAAGTCCCCCATCTGAGAATAGAATTTCATTTGTTGCGCTTGGAGATAACTACTAACAACTTGTACATATATTTGTCCCAAGCGAAGTTTTTATAGAGAAACCGAATTCTAAGATTGCTATGTTTGCCTTTCTTTCGCTTGTAATAAACAGATTATATGATTCTTTCAGTTTTTGGTTAAATAATTGAGTGTATTTTTTACTCTCTGAAACCTGCAGGTGAGTTTTGACTTTCACTAGGCTTTGGAGAGGCATTTGTCCACCTTGGTGATGATACAGGCCATAACAAAATCAATGGTTCAAATCAAATCCCGGCACGACCAGCCCCGGCCTTTGGAAAATAACTTCGCCAGAGAATTCAATAAAAACTTGAAACTCAAATATGGATATCTACATTTTATTGTGTTCTATCATAATCTCACTTGCTGAACTCTTTGCACATACACAATGCTACAAAGTACAGATAAATTAAACAAGAAAATAATTTTCAATGAATAAGAAAATAATTTCTAAAATAAATGTGTAGACAAAATGTCTTGCTGCAGCATAAATAAGACAAAGACACAAACTACGATAAATGAAACAAATAAAAAAAAAAAAAAACCTGTATTCCCGGCCAAAAATAGGTCCACTACCCTTTAGACTCAGAAAGTTCAACATCTTTCACCGGAGTGTTTTCCACTCCCTCCTTCAAAAGTCTAATTTCTTCTTCTGTAAGACTGTTCTTTGTTAGTGGCAAGGTCCTAGCATTTGAACGATCAGCCTCCACAGCCCAGCTATATATTACCATGCCCATAACAGCAAGAACCATCCCCATTATGTTCTTGAAAGTCATCTCTGAATCAAAGAGCAGCCATCCCAATGTGAGAACACAAACTGTTTTCATGTGACCTAAAACCTGGAAGGAAGTTGCTGAAAATCGCCCAATGCAGAGGTACTGACTCACATTACAGAAAACTGCTAGGGTGCACGACAAAAGAATAAAAAGCTGCACGAATTGACACCACTCATTAGGTAGAGTTAACAAAAAAAATTTACACAACATTTTATCAGCGCATGGACACATACAGAAATCAGGACGCTAGATTGGAGTTGGAGAAAGAGAGAGTACTTACAATGGCCGCGGTAGACATCTTATAGTTTGTAATAAATTTTCCATTAAGGTAGTAATCAACAAATGGACCAAGACCAAGGAGAGAGAGGGCTTGAATTGGAGCTGTCTTACTCAACAATTCAAAAGATCCAATTGAGTACTTCTTCTGCAAGGAGCCTATTGTCTGCTCAACAGAATAGATTAAATAAATTTAATTTGGAAGTCTATGGAAAAATGTATTCAACAAAATGTGAGAACCACAATCACAGCCATTTTCACAAAGAATCTTTCCAATGTATTCCGTACCCCATTATCATATTATACAGTTTAAAATCATAGCATTTAGTCTAGTCTCCAGGCTAAGTCTTTAACTGCCATCACAACATAAATTGAAATTCTTCAAAGAACCCATCACTTGCTGTGTATGTTTTAAATCATATAATCCTAGAAAAAATTGGAATTACATTTTGTGTTTGGGCTTGATTATTTCCAATATGATCTATCATATCTTTATGAATCTTATAAAGAATATGACTTTAAAAAATGGTAAAAAAGGAAAAAATAATTCATATAACTCACCCAAATTGGTTGGGTTAAGAGTCTAGATGACTAAGCAATGTTGAAGTAACACCAAGGCATGAAGAAGTCTTCCCTGATCATATGTGTACCCAACCACCCCAAACAAGGGGATTCTTTTTTCTTAGGGGGTTTGAAGTAAGAAATAAATTATGGTGGTTACTAAAACATTTTAGATATACTTACATATATTTTTTTATTTTACACTTCATCCAAGACATTTACATCTCAGTAGACAAAGTGAAATTTCTGTACTTTTATTTGACTAGAAGTCTTATTAACTAAGAAGTTAATTCCATCCCATACCCTTCTCATTTTAATTCATCACAATTAATCTCGGACACTGTCCCGCTATCATCACCACCACCACCATCCCACCCCACCCCACAACACCATTATCACCAATAATATTACTGTTTTTTTTTTAATTATTGTTATAATTATTTTGATAGGAAAAATACAAATAACACTATGTTCACGAGGAATGTTAAATTATTAGTTTACAGATATTTCTTCTCTAGGAGATAAACAAACTTATACATGAGAAAATAAAGACACACATATCATTGAAATTTATGCATTCAAACAGCAGACCAAAAATAAAAAACAAACACCACCTAACACATTTATAGGTGCGATCCACTTCTCAGCTCTCACTCAGCAGAACTTATATACAGCCAAACAATTTGTGATTCGATTACATGTACTAATTCATAATACCTCAAATCACCACATGAGTCAATTAGTTTACCTTAATTATAATTAACGAACATAACATATTGCTTCATAGAAACTGGAAAAACATCATGAAAGGAACCAATAAGATATAACAAGCAAATTTATGGAATCACGGGTCTAAAAAACCAAATGCCAATCCAGTGGATATAATAATAATATAATCAAAAAGTACTCACAATTTGCTGCAAAGATGTACAGAAGACGGCTACACAGGCACAAAGAAAACCTTTGGCATTAACTTTGACATCAGTGACGGTGCAAACACCCACACCAATAACAACAACGACAACAGACATTTTCACTTTTCTTGAGTAGTGTTTATTGTTAATAATCCATTCCATGACACAGACCACAGGAATCATACTCAATTTGGAGATCTGAGATAAAAAAAAATAAACAGAGTTAATCAGCATACATAATCATTTTCTAGGGAATAGTAGAATTGGGATTAGAATGTAAAACTCGTACTTGGTAGAACCCAACAGAATTGAGCATCAGACTAAAGTTCATGCCGGCAATAGACATATTGGCCACAACAGAGAACCAGAGAAGCTCCCACATAGGAACATACTTAGATGCGGACAATCCAGTTGCATTCGACACCAAACCCACCAAAGCCGTTACAGTGAAGTGGAACCCCGTTAATGTTGTGGCTGAAAATAAAAGCAACACAATAATATTAATTAATGGTATGAAAATCATAATTGAAATTCGGTATTAAATGTTCGTTTAACTAACTTATGATAATTTGGCATTCGTCTTATGGATCCATAAAGATCTCGGATTAAAAGTTATTTAACAAGAAGATTTAACGGTATAATTGATGAGGATAGATGTATATATAAAGAAAAAATGAGATCAGATCGGGGAGAGAAGAGGAGACAGACCAAAGCTGAAAGCGTAACCGGAGGAGGACATGAGCTGCTTGTTGGCCATGATAATTCCAACGGAGCTTATGACGTTCATGGCCCACGCTCCCACATCTGACACCGCCGACGGTTTCTTCTCGCTTTCCATTGAGATCTCAATTCCAAGCTGTGATTTGAATGATGAATTTGCTTCTCTTGTTTAGATTTAGATTATATTGATGGATGGTGAGTAAATTCAGGAGTTCTGGGAATACGTCTCTGCCTACAACAAAGAGAATGTAATGAAACAAACAAAACAAGGAAAAGAGAGGAGATCCGTTGGAAGATAGGTGAGAGAAAGAGGATGGAAAGGAAAATGAAGGCACCGGCAAGGAAGGCACAGCAACCACAACTCTATCCTAAAGGCCCCCGTCGTTCTTCTCAACCTTCGCCTTCACTTTCACTTTCTATTATCTCTCTTAATCAGTCAAAATTTGTATACCTCCAGGCTCCAATCCCCGTTTTAGATTTGTTCTCTTCTTCCATGCTTTTTCCTATGTGGTTGGGTTGACACTTAAAATGTGCTTGTCCCTAATTCTAAACTGTACTCTTACTACATGGAGAAAAAAGTAATTTATTACTAAAAAAAACATTTTTTACAAATTCACATTTTTTATATTTTCTTGCTAAGAATTTTTATTACTTGATCCCTTGTGAACAATTCGATAGAAAAATTACCTGAAAATTTGGAAGGTGTGAAAACAATCAAGTAAAAACTCCTTCAGTATGCAACGATGAACGATTTTGAAGGAATTCAAGATTTCTCATTTGTCACGAGAATTTTCTTTGTTTATGTTTTGCGCGTTCAACTCACCCTTACTTACTATGTAATATCCGTTGCCTTATTTGACTTCTCAACCCACCAACTATATTTGGGCCCAAGGACTCTGTACTCCCCCTCCCCCCCCAAATATGATAAAGTATCACTGTCCAATTAATCTCAAGTTTATTTTATATATTTCCAAAATACACAATAAAAAATTATATAGTCTTTCTCGTATTTTAATATCACCATTTTCTTATCACACCTTAAAACCAACCACTATTTTTTAATAAGTGCTTAATGGACTTTGCTAAACATATATCATAGAATAGAAATACTGAGAATCAAAATTATGAGTTTTATTAAACCCCATCTTAAAAATTAGGAAGAGAGATTAAAACACTAGAAACAGAACTACAGAAGTTATTTGTAAAAAGTTATGGGAAATGTATCTCTTCCTTCTAACCAATTTTAGTATATACTTTCTTTCACATATAGTAAAATTGCAAGTTGGCTTTGTAAATTTTTCTCAACCCACTCCATCTCAATTTCTATGGGCATCCTTCTATTTGAGACTAAGCATACATCAAAAAGTAGCTCCATGCACAAACTACATTACAATATCATGAATATTATTAATGATACATGAATCTTCAAGTAAATATCACAATAATCAAAAACTTTAATCTTAATGTACACCTGTGACTCAGAAACACACTCCATGCGCACACACAGAAAGCAAACCCAACTGTGACAGGATATACTAATTCAAATAGCAAGGCAGCCAGATAGAAACCATGGTAAGAACTATCTTCTGCAACAATCTCTCCTATCTATTTCAAACGGATGTATCTCCAGTAAAATGCACCATGAGCATACACAACGAAGTGGGATGTGCTTTCCAGACCATCTACTCATAATGATGCATCCAACAAATGCGAACTCAAGGCCCATACATACTGACACCCATAACATTATACATATAGTAGGTATACAAAACAAGCATCACTCATCATATCACATTTCTTCATCTTCATTCCCTGCCTGTTCAAGGATGTCTTTGTGCACCAGGTGGTGCTGCTGGAATCGGAAAGTTAGAGCTAATCTGACCATCTGAGAAGTTCGGGGTTTCCACATACGGGCTCTAGGATATCCAATTGTAATGAGGAAAATGGAGGAAAAATATATATTAAATCACTTGAATAACAAATAGGAAGTTAAGATGTAGGAGATTCTTTCTCTGTATTACACTCATCCCAACTTAGTTGGGGAACAAGAGGAAATATACATGCATTTGTTCCCATAAAAAATAAATCCACGCCATTTCTATAGCACTCTAAGACACATTTAACATGTATGCTGGCATCATAATGAATTTTCCCTTTGATCTCTTCTGCTCTCCCTATTTCTCACCCTCAATTCAATAAATGGAATATTTTGCTATTTATTGGGGATATTAAAAATTAATAACAGCAGATCCTTAAAAAAACACCTTCATTTTTTATATAACTGATAATTTGCTAATGGACAAAAGATTAGTTTCAAAGCACTAGCACTTCGAATTCAGGGTATCATCATATCACATGCCTTTTGCTTTTTCTGCTAGAAACACAACCTACACAAGCTTACAGCAATGCAATAATGTTTGAAAAATTGCTTTTGGAAAACCGTTTATGGAATTATAATAAAATATTGAATTTTGAGCTTTTAAGATCCAATAATGTTTTGGGTAGGAATGGCAATTGTTGTAAACAGGCACCGTTTGAGTGAACCCTAGCACTATGACCCGTTCATTAAACATGTCAAACATATTCATGTCATAAATGTATTAACCCAAATACGTTAAATAATTCTATCATTGTTGGTGATCTTTACCACAACAAGAGTCCTCCAATTTCTATTTCTCTTGGCATTCTCTTTTCTAAACAAAAGACACCTAATTATCCATAGGATTGTAGCTAATAGTGATTAGACTACAACATACATGGGGCTAACGGAGCTCCACCTACATAATGTCTCCTATATCAATATCATTTTATCTTGATTCACAAACTTTCATTCAATGTTTACCCGTTCATCCTATAGAAGCTAATGAAGTTAAAAAATTCACATTTATATTGTATATCTGAAAACAAAAAATGAAGAGAATGGCCAGAAAAGGGAAAAGAAAATGCAACTATATATGTTCTTTCTATTTCTCTTAGCATTCTCTTTTCTAAACAAAAGACACTTAATTATCCATAGGATTGTTGCCAATAGTGATTAGTCTACAACATACATGGGGCTAAAGTAGGTCCACCTACATAATGTCTCCTATGTCAATATCATTTTACCTTGATTCACAAACTTTCATTCAATATTTTACCCGTTTGTCCCATAGAAGCTAATGAAGTTAAAAAATTGATGTTTATACTGTATATCTGAAAAAAATGAACACATCAATAGTGGGAAAGAAATTACCTGTGATACAGATGTAGACTGAGATGGTTCTTCATGATTTAAAGATTTTGGCGACATATTAGGAGAACAAGCATCATAGCCAGATTCACTTCCATTCAGTTTCTGGTGTCCACTGCTTAATACGGTTTCATTCTCACTTCCATTTGTTGACTTCGCCCTCTATATTGGTGCCATTGTGTCCCCGAACAAGTTAGGCATTTAGTCAACAATCTAACGGTTGGAAATGCAGAGAATTCTGAATGAAAGAGCAAGAAACAATACCTGAAAGATTTTACCAAGAGTTTTCAATCCCTTTGCTTGTGCACGAAGATCTTCTTTTTTGGCATTGTTATCTTGAAGGACCTAAAATAAATTATTCATAATTATCACCAAAAATCTAGGCCTATTTACCATAATATAAGCTAAAAATCCATATATAACTCAAAGTTAGCAAAACTACCATTTGACAAACACGGGAAAGTGTGGCTTCAATATCAGCTACATTAAGCTTCCACAGAGAATCTGTCATCAATTTCTTGTGGGATCGTATGTATTCTTCAAGCTCTTCCTCAGTATAGTTTCCTTCAGCACTAAGCTGCTTTTTCATGTCTTCTTGCAGCTGAATCAAAGCAATGGCACCTAGCACCACCAACAATTCGAAATAATGAACAATTCATCAGCTTATATAAATTTTCCTTAAAGCAGTTAAGTTCTTTTGTTGTGACAATTTGAACAAAAAATTAACTCCAGCCCTACCCCACTGTTTTACTTACTACAAGCAACAACTTTTTACTGACACCACCCAGCAATATTTACCAACATCAGCATCCTAATACTGCATGACTAGAAGCAAAAAAGTCGGTAAAAGCTCATAGTAAACTCCCTGCACAAGCCCTCGTTTGTCTGTAAGAACTGTAATGAGTCTCCAACAAAGCAGCAATAAAAATGCCAAAAAAAAAAATTTAAAATTTAAAAAAAAAAAAAAAGGCAGATAAGACACAAAGCGAGAGAGACTCAGGGAGCTGCCCAAGAAAGTGATGAACTTGTGCTACTTCACTCCATATTGCCAATATGTGGTTTGTAACAACAATAAAGATCGAAAGGGTTACCCACAACAATGATTGCTGTCAATTGAAAGGCAGCAATATCTACTAACCTGTTGCTGCCGTTACTTGAGATTTGATATAGTGGCCTTTGTTTCTAAACCATTCGGCAATGAATGGCAACCCCAGATAAATTGCTTTCTTTCCAAGCTCTTTTGCAGCTTGTCTTGCATATATATAACCAATAGTATTCAACATGTCAACACCATAGGCTGTTGAAATCAGCGATAAAACTAGTCAGAAGAGAAAGTTTTGCCAATAAACTGAGACTAGAAGATTAAAACTGTAAATGACTCTCTTGCAAATTAGGTTAAAGTTCCCCCATAAACTTGGGAAAAATTGTCAACCGTGAAAAAATCCTAGCTTCTGTGAGCTTCGACTGAACAAATAATACTAAGTACTTCATTACATTAAATGGCAGTAATTGTTGTCAATTTACTTTTAAAAAACTGCTCCTTAATGTTTAGGCATATGACTAATCAAAGGTTGCTTTTATAAGACATAAGATTTAGCAGCAGCTACACAGTGGAAAAAATAAAATCAATCATAGAAAAAGAAACCTTTTTTATTTTTTTGACACTCATTTTTAACAATAAGTATGGATTTTTTTTTTTATTAAATATAAGTGCAGATATATTACCTGCATTAGAGAGCCTTGAAACTTCGGCTTCAGCATTATTAATAAACTCATCTTTGTTACCTTGTACATATTTGTAGAGTCGATCTCTTAGTATAGCTGCAAGCTTTTCTTCCCTTTCCTTCTGAACAACCTGCAGTAGACAGATAAATTGCACTAGGCATTGAAAATAAGCAAAGATTTGCATATCTATGCCAGATTGACCACACATGAACAATGACAAAGTGATTCCAATTTATAACCATGGACACACTAGAGAATGAACTTCTACTTAGTTATGCGATCAACTTATCATGGTTCTTAGTAGATAAATAAACTCCATCAGGTCATTTAGTTTATTAGATTGAGAAATGATAGTCCAGCTGTATCTTCTAATATGCTATATAAAATTAAAATATAAAATGGTACAATCATATGATGGATCCAACTGCTTTTGTGATGCAAAACTAGTAATCTGTAAAGAAGACTCAGGTTAATTGTTCAGCCTATTGGGCAGTCACACATCTCATAAAATAAATATATAAAGTTCACCATTTTGGCTATTGTGTTCCAATTTGGTTTGGGACTTAACAGAATTACTGTTTCCAAGTTACCATCTAACAATCCTTTGTCCTAACAACAAAGCCAGTCCCAGGTGGCAAAGAAAAATTATTCAATTTTAAGGGTGTTGAGACTTTGAAAGCAGGGCATAACTGAGTCAAGAGAATAAAATGAATATAGTAAAGCCTTAAACCACATTAGATTCAGAAATAAATCAACCCAAAATCCATTTAATAAAAATAGGGAGGAACTTGCCCTCATTTTCTCCTGCAACTTTTTAGCATCAAATTGTTCCCCTTCAGTAAAAATGTCTAAAGAAGCCATTGATGCCATGGCAAGCTGTCCTATATATTCCTCAAATAGCTCACTTCCAAAAAGCATAGCAAAGATTGCTGCAGGATCAATAATTGCTTCACTGCAACGAAAATGAATCGTGTAGATAACATAAAAAAGAATATGAAATTTATCAGCATCCAGATACATATAATGTGTGAAGAATCAGAAAGCTTCTCAAACTTGAAAGTAATCTATCATAGATTAAGAAAAAGAAAACTAACGTTGAAATTCCTGACTTCCCATAAGCATCATATGCTTGCCTTTGGGCTGGATCACTCAATACCTGGTAAGCCTCTCCCAAAACCTGAATTCAGATGACAGAAACTTCGATGAATATATACTAATGAATCTTTGAACATTTTAGCTCCATTCAACCTATGCAATGACACAGTGAGAACAACACCAAAAAGATAAGAAAAAAAAAAAAAAAAAAATTAGTATTTAAATAGTATGATAAAATTCAAAATGTTCTGAATGAGACCAAACCAGTTTGTAACTTACTTTTATGCACACGATTGTCATATAACTGAATACTTAAAAGATTTGAATCCATTTCAGTGATAAATTATTTAAGAAAAGGCAGTTGGGCTTACTCCAAGTCTACCAAAAACTAAATGAACCAAGGAGCATCAAAGAAGCCATCATGAACATCTTGGTTTCCAAAGATGTATGAGTCTGGATGCACACATTGAAATGACAATAGTTCAAGAAGCCAAAAAATGCACAAATTGAAATTAAATTAGTGGTTTAAGAGGCCCTTGGCTGAAAAAAAACAGGCAGAGAGATGGACGCTTCTAGCAGCATCCAATTTTACAAAAAGAGGAAAAAGGCCTTACTAGGTTCAAATTCCCATTTGGTATTGCCAAAGATAGTGAAGATCATGAAGGAGCTGCATGAAATTTCACCAACCTCATGCAAAGGAGAACCTTGTAGCTTTTTAGATCATAAGAACTTTCATGAACTTCCATCCATGAATATCTCCTTGTAACTTTTTTTTTTTTTTTTTTTAAGTAAATATGTCAAATAACACAATAACAATGCCTAACTGATAGATATTAAGCTGACAGAGACCCCAAACTCACTCAAACTTTCAAGTGATCACTTCCTTTTTACGTTTTTATTTTCAAGTATATAGTGATTTTCATCAGAATAAGCAGAAGTGTTCTAGCATTAAGCAGCAAAGAAAGCAGTCTACCAACAACGAGTTGTTCTCGTATTGTTTATTTAAAATTAAGCTGATGCTAGTTGAAACTAGAAGATGTCCTTTATTAATCAAATAAAAAGTTCAGTATTCTAGAAGAAAAAGCCATTTCAGTGATACTTAGAAAACAAGCTACTTGCCTGAAAATTTTGTGCAGCAAGAGGATCATTTGGATTTTTATCTGGGTGTACTTTTCGCGCCTGCAACCCACAAACAAAGAAGATTTGTAAAGGTTTCTATTTTAAACACCGACAATAAAGATAATTCATAATAACATAGTGACCATGAACATGGGAAGTGATGTTGATTGTTGAAGGATATAACATCCAAGGAAGCAAAAATTCCTTTTTTTTCAGCAATTTCAAGAAAATAAACGTCTTAAATTGCTGCTGTTTTTTAAGAGAAAACATAGAGTATCTATATTACAACTAGGGGATCTGCAGACCAAAAAGTTGAGGTGGTTTTGAACCAGAAACCCTCATATATGAATGAATAAATAAATAAAAAAAATATGAGATTGGCAAGACATAAAACAAGAGCAAGAAGGAATACCTTGATGTAGTAAGCTTTCTTGATCTCGGACTCTGTAGCCGTTGGGCTGACCCCTAGCACGTCGTAGTATTCCGTCTCCTTTACCATCACTGACTAGGTGAATGCTACCCAACTACCTCTGATTTATAAATCACTAAATCGATCGGGATACCAGAGTAAACCCAAAAAATGGAGATAAAACAACATATACCGTCCAAAAATTATCAGAGTTAAGAATGAAAGGAATGGCGTTAATCTTCTACACGCTGACCTCTGATTCCTTCAAGTTGACTATCCGCCCTGTTTTCCGCGTTGTACTTAGGTTTCATCCTGCTTCTCTACCATTGTACTTTTACATTTTTAATTTTTTTAATAATGAAATATATAAAGGTTTGGAAAAATGTGTGTTATTTTTGGATTTTACGTATCCGTTTTTCGTATTTCTGAAAATATTAAAAATGATTGAAAATTATGGAAAATAAAAACGTATATGGCATATTTATCTAAAAATAATTAATGAAAATAAAAAAAATAAAAACATTTTGGATAAGGTTTTCTGAAAACATGATAAAAAAATAAAAAATATGAAATTTATCATCTACATAATTTATAAAACTCTTGTAAAACACAATTTATTTTGGTGCTTGTCTTAAATGTAATAATTTTTTTATTCTCCTTTATAATTTTGTGTTAAAAATCAATCATATTCCTCTTAATGGAATAAAACTAAGAAAATGTGGTTTTTAGCTTAAGCTAGGAACTTGTTTGTTTGTCTTAAATGGTTTCTCCAAAAATTTCCCTATCAAATATCATCTAATTTCCGTCATATATCAACCCGCATTGAAACACTTTATTTCTCGTTTATTCGCACATTTTGACCACAAGATGAGTATTGTAGACATCAAAACTGGCGTTCCAAAAGTTTTAGCACTAAAAAATCAATATTTATGGCCATGGTTAGTTTAGGAAGATATTAACTCATATTGAAGTACCTAGTTCGAGCACAAAATGAATTTTATGGGTATCAAATTAGGCTACTGAATACTTTACAAATCAATCACCGGTATTTTAGGTCGTCATCAGATTTCGAAGATATTTCTAGCTTCCTCGCATTAATTGAGGACAAAATAAGTTCTGTAGGCATCAAGACGTCCTGTAGGTAAGACCCAACCCAATTAAAACCGTGAAAATTTTTACCTACCCCACTCCAACCAAATGTGTGTGATTTTCCGTTCAAGTTCGGCTAGTTACGAGATATTAGATCAACCGAAAATCAGTCTGACTCTATCGATTATTCGACCCAGCATAAGCTCGTCGATATATAGCTCGACTCAGCACAAGCTAATCGCGAACAACCCGAATGATCATTCAATCGATTCCCAAATAACTTCAGATCCTAGATATTACGAGAATGACCAAATTAATAGCAATCTCTATGCAATCACAGTGCCTAATCGCAAGAATATTGGAGTTGTAGTTCAAATCAATTGTAATCCCTTTATTTTCGCTCTTTCCATTATACAAACCTTGTATATAAACCCCCTCAAATGATGAAAAATGGGTTAAAAATTTTTCATAGAACTCTTATTGTAAGCTCTCATAGCAAATACAAGAACAGTAAACGTAGGCATAAGAGGTTACCTAGCCGAACCACTTTAAAAATCTTATTATCTTTTACTTTATTGCACTTATCATTCACCAATCACTGATTATCCGTAATCACGCCCACATTCGTTCCGATTCCACCAAGGTCAATCGGATCTCTTTGGTTGGTACGAAATTTTGTTTCAACATTTTGGCGCTAGAAGGAGGGTCTCCGCCAACATATCAAAAATTCCGGCCAACAACTTACTTAATTCAGGCTCGCGATGGTGCATATCAGATCGAAGACCACCACCAAAAACCACGAAAATGTGGAAACCACCCATCAAGAGGTGCAACAGGATGCCACCGGATGTTGACCACCTGTGCCGCCAACTCTGCATGTCACGAATAACCAAGGGGCAGGCACATCACCCCCCGAAAACGGCCAACTGATGGAGATGATCAGAACAATGATTGCACAGGTGGTGTAACAAAACATGGCTGAGCTGAGAAATCAGCAACGAACTGTCCAGAACCTCGACTAGCCACGCTTTGCCAATGCCTCCCCAATAGGTATGAATTCAGCAGGTGGCCAGTCTGACTTGTCGACGCCGAGAGGCGACCAATACCCCCGCCGTCATAAACTCCACTCCGCTCATGAGCGTGAATCCCGCAGGCAAACTAACCCCAGGAGGCGACCAAGGAAGCAACCACTAGGTGAAAGCAAAGGCAACAGTCACCCCCGATATGCGTGGTGGTATCCCCAGCGTTAGCGTGCCAGTCTTAACCCACACTAGAGATAGGCTCAATCCTCGCAAGCCTGCGAGACGAGTCATGTGCGTCAATTCGACAATGATCGACGTTCCGGTTATAACCAACGTCGCGAGCAACGCACCAACGAGAATGATAACACCTATCAGCCTAGCAATCATGACTCAACTTCACACATCAACGCGCGCAATGGAGGGCTTCGCAAGCCACGGACTTGCGAACTCACTTGCTCAAAGTAAGGTTGAACCAAGCCGGCTAGGGCAACCACAATGAAGATTTAGATTGTGTGCAGAAAATGCTCGACGATCTAAGGGCCCGCCAGAACAACACAATGGAAGAAATAGTGAGTTCCCCCTTCATGGAGGAGGTTTGTTAGGCCACATTTCCACAGGGATTCAAGGCACCAAAGAGTAAATTCAACTGGAGAGGGGACCCTAGGGACCACCTCCACAATTTCAATGACGTGATAGAGCTACACCAGGTCTGTGACTTGGTGAAATGTCACTACTTTGCAGTAACATTAGTAGAGGATGCCAAGATGTGGTAGAAGAGACTCAAGGCAAACTCCATCAATTCCTAGCAACAATTCTCCTTGTTGTACCTACAACAATTTCAAGCGAGGAGACAGTTTGCAATGCCCCTCAGTTACTTGAGCAACATTCGTTAGGAGAGTGATGAAACACTGACCTCGTATTTAACGAGATTCCAGAATGGACAAGCGAAGGTTGCAGATGCACCCAAGGAGTCCATCCGAACTTTGCTGATTGTAGGCATCAAGCCAAACACAAAGCTGTGGAAAGAGCTCTAGAGTGAAGATCACATGAGCCTAGCCAAGTTTTACCAAATGGCTGCAAAACACTAGGGAGTGGAAAGCTCGCTGATAGCATTGGCCAGAAGCTCGATGCGAGGAGCCCCAGACAGGCGACATGATCGCCCATCAAACAAGTGTGGGGGTCAAGAACACAATGATAGGGATTGCACCAAGTCCCAAAAAAAGTAGAAAACAAATAAGCGCGGGGACAGGCAGCCTTTCCCACGATATGCAGAATATACCCCTCTCACGCAAGACATGGCTCACATTTATGAAGTCTCCCGTGAGGCAAAGAGATTGCCCACCCCAAAAAGGATGAGGGGGGCTCTAGGTAGAAAGGATCGACAAAAATATTGTCGATACCACCGAGACATTAGGCATAACACCAATGAGTATCGGGCTTTGAAAGATGTCATCGAGGACCTGATGTAAAGGGGGCACCTAATGGAATTCGTCAAGTCCAGAACAAGATCGAGCAAGCCCCAACGAACGCCAACAATAAGGTCCTGGTAGGTATGATCTACGGGGGGCCAGACATAGCGAACAACCCAAGGAGCATCCGCAAACAGTATGCTCATGAGGCCAAAACAAACTCAGTCCCCTAAATAATGAGCTATGAACGAAGGCTGCATAAGCAGCCCAGACAAGAGAGCGAGGTAGTAGGATTCACAGTCGTAGAGTGCGAGGAATCCCCTCGCCACAATCATGACGCGATCGTAATTGCAACCAGAATCGATAATGCTAGAGTGCTTAGGGTAATGGTCGATAATGGGAGTGTAGCGAACATCATTTTCTTGGGAGCTTTCTGAGGAATGAGATTCACAGAGAGAGACCGGAGGGCGTACCCTTCCCCGCTCTATGGATTTATCGAGGACAGCCTAGTTCCCAAAGGGATGTTGACCTCCCCGTGACTCAAGAAACAGAGCCCAAGGTCTAGATAATAATGGTTGAATTCCTAGTGGTAGACTGCCTAACCACATACAATGTCATTCTCGGAAGACCGATCTTGGATGACTTGAGCGCAGTCACATCAATACGCTACCAGGCAATGAGGTTTTTGACTCCTGGGGGAGTCGCGACGATCAGAAGCTGTCGAAAGGAATCTCAGGAATGTTACAACCAGGCTATAAATGTTACACATAAATGGTCGCTCTCAAGAACAATGGTTAAAGCAGAATCTAAGCCAAACCCCAAGCCTCTTGAGGATACCATTGATCCTCGCATCTATGGAGAGGAGCCCACAGTAGGGCCAATGGAAGAGCTGCGAGAGATATGTGTCAGTGAGGAAGATTCAACTCACGTACTAAAAGTCGACAACAGCCTGAGCAAAGACTTGGCTAACAACTTGGTGGGGTTTTTGAGGAAAAACCTCGATGTTTTCGCATGGGTGCATGTAGATATGATAGGGATCAACCTTAAGGTAATGTGTCACAAACTGAACATCGACCCGAAAGCCCGGTTGATAAGACAAAAAAGAAGGTTAATGGATGCAAAGCGTTCCAATGCGCTCAAGGATGAAGTTGACAAGCTCCTGAACATCAATTTCATTAGGGTAATGAAGTATCCAGATTGGCTTGCTAACCCAATCCTAGTCAAGAAGCCAAATGACAAGTGGCGAACTTGCGTCGACTTTATAGATCTGAATAAAACATGTCTAAAAGACGGTTTTTCGCTTCCAAGGATTGACCAGCTAGTACATGCAATAGTCTAACAGATGAGATAGTTGGAAACGCACTACTTAGCTTCATGAACGCGAACTCAGGATATAATCAAATCCTGATATAGTAGCTCGATAATAACATGCTTCCTTTATTACTAACCATGGAATTTATTGTTACTGGGTTATGCCATTTGGCCTCAAGAATGCTGGGGCGACCTACCAGCGTTTGGTAAACAAGATGTTCGCCGATCAAATTGGCAAAACCATAAAGGTATACATCGACGACATGCTCATCAAGTCAAATGTCACCGAAAGCCACATTGAGCATCTAGGAGAGATGTTTGACATCTTCAAAAGATATCGAATGAAGCTCAATCCTTTAAAATATGCTTTTGGAGTAAGCTCAGGGAAATTTTTTGGTTTCCTTGTAAACCAACGGGGTGTAGAAGCCAACCCGAAGAAGATTCAGGCTCTACTCAATATAAAAAACCCGACCAACATAAGGCAGTTATAAAGCTTGACGAGACGTGTGACTAAATTCAGCAGGTTTGTTTCCCAAGCCACAGACAGATGTTTACCATTCTTTGAGACCTTAAAGGGGAATAAAGGTTTCAAGTGGACAGATGAGTGTGAAAGAGTCTTCCAAGAGCTGAAGAAACATCTAGGACAACCTCCTTTGTTGTCAAAGCTCGTCCAGGGCGAGCCATTACTATTATACTTATCGATTTCAAAGTTTAATATCAGCACGGTATTGGTACACGAAAAGGAAGGAGTGTAATGGCCGGTTTATTAGGTGAGTAAGAGGCTACTCGACGTAGAGATGAGATACCCTGAAATAAAGAAGCTCGCCTTCACCCTTGTCATCGCTGCTAGGAAGTTGCGGCCCTATTTCCAAGCACACTCCATTTATGTGCTGACCAACTTTCCCCTAAAGAAAATAATGTAAAAGTTCGAGACATCAGGTAGATTGATCTAGTGGACAATAGAAATGAGTCAGCACAATATCAAGTGTATTCCGAGAATAGCAATCAAAAGTCAAGCCTTTACAGATTTTATATCAGAGTTCTCCTATCAGCCAGATGGTGAACCAGAATCGCTAGGGGTAGATACCTTGGGAAAAGTCAAGCAACAAAAACCAAAGCTCAATGACTTATGGCAATGGACTTTGTATGTGAATGACTCCTCAAACGAGAAAGGGGCAAGATCAGGGCTCTTGCTCGAAAGTCCATAAGGAAACCTGATCAGAGCCGCAGTAAGATTCTGGTTCGCCACCTCCAATAACAAGGCAGAGTACGAAGCGTTGCTTGTAGGGATCCGTCTTGCCAAGGAAATGGGGGCAGAGTCCACTAAGATTTACAGTGATTCGCAGCTCGTAGTCCACCAAATTACCGAGGAATACCAGACAAAGGAATATAGGATGACATCCTACCTCTAGCTAGTGGAAACCGAGCTCAAGCAATTCAGATCTTTCACAATTCTCTAGATCCCAAGGGAGAATAACTCACAAGCAGATGCATTAGCCCGCTTAGCCTCTATGATGAACCAAGAAAAAGCTGATTTAATCCCAGTTAAGTTCCTCCCAAGACCAACATCTCCGCTCCACAAGGACCAATTTTAGCAACAAGTCGTAAATACAGTTGGACAAACGTAATCACTGTCTACCTAAGGGATGGTACATTACCAGAGGAGAGAACTGAAGTTAGAACACTCTGTATAAAGGCAACTCAGTACACACTCATCAATGATAAATTGTACAAACGCATATTCAATATACTGCTACTCCGATGTATCGACTATGAGGACGCGGATTATGTTCTGAGTGAGATCCATGAGGGAATTTGTGGAAATCATATAAGAAGTAGATCTCTAGCCTACAAAGTGTTTCGCCAGGGGTACTATTAGCCGATAGTTTTCGTTGATGCAGCAGACTATGTGCACGGATGTGATAGGTGCCAGAGGTTTGCAGATACTCCGCAAGCTCCACCTCAAGAATTGACTACTCTGACAAGCCCTTGGTAATTTACAATGTGGGGCATCGGCCTAATCTGTCCCCTGCCTTAAGGAAAATGGGGCGTTAAGTTTGTAGTGGTCGCCGTTGACTATTTCACCAAGTGGGTAGAGGCTGAACCCTTGGCTACCGTCACGTCGAACAAGCTAGAGGATTTTATCTACAAAAACATTGTTTGTGGGTTTGGAATCCCCCACATTATAATAACCGACAACGGAAAACAATTCGATAGTGAAAACTTCAGATCTTTCTGCAAACAGCTCGGCATCAAACAGAAGAGTTTCGCTGATGTTTACCGACCTCAAGCCAACGGTCAAGTAGAGTCTGTGAACAAAATCATCGAGCACACTATTAAAAAGAAGCTCGACGCCCTGAAGGGAAGATGGGTTGAAGAATTACCCAAAGCCTTGTGGTCCTACATAACAACAACCAGGAGTTCGATAGGTGAAACCTCATTCTCTCTATCATACGGGTGTGAAGCAATGGCCCCGATTGAGGTGGGAATCAGTTCGTTCCAAATGGAAGTCTTCAACAAGGAAGTAAATGAAGACATTCTCCACCTGAGGCTAGATCAAATTGAAGAGCACCAGGTCAAGTCTCAATTAAGGCTTACCTCATATTAGCAGTGAGCCAAACAATACTTCAACACCAAAGTAAAAAACAAAGACTTTGAACTGGGTGACCTGGTTCTCAAAAAAGTCATCCAAGGTACCCAAAACCCGAACTTGGGGGCACTTAGGCCTAAATGGGAAGGTCTTTTCAGAATCTCCGAAAAACTTGCACCAGGATCTTTTCACCTGAAACACCTCAACGGCGAAGTGATACTACAAGCCTAGAATGCCGAGCATTTGCGAAGGTATTACCAATAAGCAGCTCAAGTTCCGCTTATATCTTTCTTTTTATCATTCGATGTAAGGCCGTTCACAGCCAAAGTGTTTAATTTGTTTACCATTTATTCGTCGCTTCAAAGGTCGCGACCTACGCGATAACATTCCAAAAAAAAAAAAAAACTTGGAGTCAAAGAGTTCGAGAAAAGTTAGCTTATCTCAATAAGTCACGCCAAAATCCAACTCTATAAGGGTAAAATATCCCAAATCGATGAAGTTGAAAGAAAAATTTCAAGAAAAAACGCATCGAAAAGATATTGGCCTAAAGTCAACGACCAAAGCTCGAAGCGAACAACTAATCCAGAATCCGAGTTTCTTGTCACAAAAGATTTCCTCGCACACATCCAAAAAAGCTCCTCAAGAAGCGAGCTACGCATAAATTGGAGCAAATTCGAATCTTCTATTATAAGTCCAATTGGGACAACAAAAATGACTCAGCAGAAATATAAAATCTTTGCTCGACGAGGATATACTAAAAAATCTTCCTTTCATTAATAAACTGCTATTACATTCTAAATAAAAGAAAAATGATGTTTCAAGTAGCTAGGGGAGCAGGGGGATCATCCTCGACCGGTCCAAGGAGCTCATCACTGACTGGAAAAGACAGTTCCTCGATAGAAGGAATGGCAGCAGTTTCTTCAAGGTTGGGAGCCTTGCTCGGGGGAAGTGTAGTTATGGGAGCCAGATCCTCGACTTCTTGCTTGAGCCCGATCTCCTCTTCACCTTCCTCGACTTCTTGCTTGAGCCCGATCTCCTCTTCACCTTCCTCGACCTCTTCTTAGCCCTCACCATCATCCTCGGAGTTATCCAAGTAGACTTAAGTCATTCCATGGGCTTCGACCTCCATCCTCTCGACTTCTTTCTGATAAGCTCGAGAAAGGAAAGAGAAGTCGATCGAGGGATGGGCTTCCCATAGCTTCTGTACAAAAAAGACCGACGTTTGTCAAGCTCAAGTAGTGATGGCACTTGTTCAACTCCTCAATTTGAAGTCTGAGTTGCCTAGCCTCAACTTCGACCTTCCACCTCCTAGGCAAGGTCGAGTGATGACTACTTGAATTTGGCCTCCCAGTCCGAGGATGCCTTTTGAGCCAAGGAAAGCTTAGAATTCAATTTGTTATTGGCACCTCGATGTTATGCCAAATTCTTCTCAGCCTCAACTGCCTTACCATCAGCCTTCGCTCGCACAACCACACTTGCATTGAGCTTGTCAAGGAACTCCCTTTTCTTGACCCCAAAGGTCGTCATTTCCTCCATAAGTCGTTCGAGCTCAGCCTGCTTGGTCTCTTTCTCCTTCTCTGTAACCGGCCTTGACCAGGGTGTCCTCTTTCACCATCTCCGCCAGTTGCCACCCTTTATGAGTGCCTTCCAAGGTGACATAACACTCATCATAGAGAAGCTTGCTCACCATGGCAACCTAAAAAAAAAAAGATAAAATGGAAAGTCAACAAGAAGCGAGGATAGCGTGCAAATAAAAGAAAAGAGGAGCAAACTACCGATACCTTCGCCGCATATTTACACACCAAGGCCAACATATCGGTAGGAGTTACATCCCTAACAACCATGAATATTCGCGGGGTGACGTCATCCTAAGCCGCTGTGGCCCCAACACTAATATGGTCGGAGAGTTGGTCGATCAACGCGTCAATTGCAGCTTGGGCTGCTTCATCCATCTTCTTGCTTTTCGGTCGAGATGAGTTAGACTTACTCCACCCAATCCAGCCTCGCCCGTAGGAGCGAACTTCTTCTTGGCCAAATCCTTGGTCGCTATTTTCTATAGGTCGCCAGCTTGCACGATGACCTCTTTGCCCAAGCCAACCTGCTGCTAAACCACTTTTTGCTTTCTAAACCCCACTTGAGGCTCGAATGATTTCTTTTTGTCCGAGCCATCATACTGCTCAGGCCCCTTTTGTTTTCCCAAGCCACCAGCCAGCTCAGGTATTTTCTTGGTCGACCTTTTTTGGGGCTCAAAGACACTCTTCCCGCCAACTGCCTTTGAGGCAATCGCGAGCTTCTTCGTACTTGGGCCTTCCCCAAGCTCGCCACCGCCGCATTTCACGCCAACAATGTCAGCAGGCTGCTTTGTCGCCAAAGTAGCCGATGTCTTCTTGGCTACCGCCTTTTTCTTAAGGCCTTTTAGTTTTTCAGCCCACATTTCT